GATGATGCTTAAAAAGGGTGGCTGGTTCCACGAGCCCACAGTGCCAACAGGACATTGGCACCAAGGCTTTCATTTCCTTCCATGCTGCTGACTGGTCCCAGCCAGCCTGGGGGCACTGAGGGGCTCCCCCACATTTTACAGCAAAGCAGAGTCAGGCAGGGAAGGCCATGAGCCCACTGCCAAGTCCCCCGTGGTGCCAACTCCCTACCTGGCTTCTTTGCTTTATGATGCTGTCCAGCTTGCCCACTGCTGTCTGCCGTGACTCCAGGGAGTCCACCTTCTCTTCGAGTTTCTCACAGCGCTGGACGAGCTCTCCCAAAAACGCTCTGATGTTGAAGGTGCATTTGGAGCACTCTGGATCCTCCATCTCCATCTCCTCCTGCACCGTCCCTGTTATCTCCGCCAGCTCGCCCAGCTGCAGCAAGGGCAGAAGGAATCCATTCAGATGGGGTAGATGCAACCAGCAGCCCTGGCTGCCGTGGGGCTCAATGGCTCCAGCCAGCTGGGGGATGTGGCTGGGAACACTGTCAGGATCCCTCCACTGAGCCCGCGGGTGGTGGGAGTGAACACCCAGCACCTCACCTGAGCATTCATCTGGTTGGTCGCCTCAGTCACCATCTGCTCCAGCATGACATTCCTCATCTCCTGCTGCTCCTCCACCTTCTTCAGCTCACTCTTTGTCTCCTGCAGCACGGACCTGGCCAGCGAGATGGGGGCAGGGACAGGCTCAATCTCCCCAAGGCTCTTTGGGCAGAGTCCCTTTGCACCCAAACCAATATGCTCTCAGACTCCCCAGGCTGTCTTGCAGCCCAGTAAGGTAGGAAACCCTCTCCTCTGCCCTTACTCCATTTGCTGAGTGATTTCCTGACTGGTCTCTTCTTTCCACTTCACTGCATCGTCCCTCAGCTGTGTGATGTTTTGTTCCATCTTCTTCATCTGGGAAGGGCAGTGGCCGCAGTCAGGGCAGACCCAAGGCCCCACACCCTGTCCCCAGCCCAACCCCAAATGCCCAGCTCAGGGAGCCACGCTCAGGTACCCCACAAGAGCCTAAAGGTGACACCAGCCAGCAGCTCACCGATGCAAAAGTCTCTTTCATCTTCTCTGCCATGTGGGACTGTGTCACCTTAATCACGCCAATCTCCTCACGGAGATTCTGGGAGTCAACCATGGCCTAGGAGACAGGGGTGGTGGGGGTGAGTCCCAGGGGACGGTCCCTGGGGACCTGCAGGACCTCCCCCTGTGCCGTGGTGTGCCCAGCACAGGGGACAGCGCAGGTCAGGCTCAGTCAGGCTGGCAGGGCAACTGTGGGCAGCACTCTCCATGCATCCAGCAGCACCAGAGCTGAGGCCACTGGCTGCTGCCTCAGAGCCACAGGTGTCTGACAGCAGCAGTTCACCTGGTAACACTCGTCCTGGAGCTTCTTTATGTCTTCTGCCATGTGGAACTGTAGGAGAAAGGGGTGTCAGAGATGAACCCCTGGGCAGTTTCCCTGGGAACATGACCTTCACTCCCACTGTGCTCTACACCGACCTGTGCCTCCTGGATCTTTCTGATGTCCTTTGACACTCGGGAATGTTCAGCCTTTATCCCACTAATCTCCTGAGAGATAGTTTAGACAAAAAGGGTTGTTCTAGGTTAGCCCCAGGACAGCAAGTCCCCTGAGACCCCCAGCCCTGTCCTGAGGAGCCCATGGCACAGGCAGGGTCAGCAAGGAGAGCCCCAGTGCCGCCTTCCCCAGCCAGGTTCCGTGCCAGAGCAATGAAGGGACAGGAACCGCTGCCAGCGGGTCAAGCACTGCCTGGGCAGCGAGGGCAGAGTCAAGCACTGCTGAGGAAGTGGGGAGGGACTGACTGGTGGGGGAGAACCAGGGGCTCTGGGAAGAGCCACTACCTCAGACATGAGTTTCTTGTAGGATTCCATCTCCTGCCTCATTTGTTTCACATCAGTGGCCAACTCAGCGAGTGAGGGGCCACTCAGCTTGCCCGTCCACGGCTCCTGGGTTCTCAGGTACTGCATGTCCAGGTGCCCCAGCACGGCCCGCAGCAGTTTCCTCATGGCCGCAAAGTGGATGGCTCCATTCTCGGGCATCCCAATGGAGAGATCCAGCAGTTGGGAGAGGCTGAGAGTGTCCAAGGACGTTGCCATGTCTGCAAAAACAAGAGCCTTTCTGCCCAGACACGATCTGCCAGGGATGAACAAAAGGGATGATAAAAGGGATGAACAATAGGGAAGATAAAATGGTTGAGCAAAATGGTTAATCAATCGTATTAGCAAAAGCAATGAGAAAAGGATCAGTCGCCAGCAGGCTCCTTCCTCCTTCCTCGGCCCTCGAAGGACTGGGGCCTGCGCTGCACGTGCCCCTCTTCATCACAACGCCTGTTGCCAGGCAATGGCCACACCCCACCCCAGGACACAGTGGGTCACAGAGCCATGGAATCATGAGGTCATAGAGTCACGAGGTCATAGAGTCACGCAAAGGTTTGGGCTGGAAAGGACCTTAATGCTCTTCTCATTCAAACCCCTGTCAGCAACAGCAATAATGACACCTTCCACTATGCCAGGTTGCTCCAAGCCTCATCCAACCTGGCCTTGAACACTTCCACGAATGGGACAGTCACACTGGGCCTCCTGTACCAGTGCCTCACCACCTTCCCAGGGAAAAATTTCTTCCCAGTATCATGTCTAACCCTGCGCTCCAGCAGTGGGAGAACATTTCGACCTTTCCTGTCACTCAAGGCCCTTGTCCAAAGTCCCTGTACAGCCCTTTTGGATCCCCTTTAGGAACTGAAACATGCTTGGAGGTCTTCCAGGAGAGAAGAGACCTCCTTGTTGTTCTTTTATTCAGTTCAAGACTTGAGTCACAGCTAAGCCAGTTCCTCCTCTGCCGTGTCAGACTCTTGTTCTGTCACAAGACAACTCGCACTCAGCTCTTGTTGCTTCTTGCACTGTGGAGCGGGGAATAAGCCTGGCTTGGCTGAGCCGCTGAACTGTCAGGGTGAGTTGGCTCAGGCAGGACACAGGAACCCCCACAAAACCACAGATGAAGTGCAAAGAGGACATTCACAGCCATTCCTCACCAACTGAGGGATCCCCAAAGCAGCCCCTGGGCAGGGGCTCGCGGGCAGGGCCTCCAGTACCGCAGAGCTCAGTCCCTGCCACAGAATCGCCCAACCTGCTCTTTTCCCCTGGGCTTCACACATTGGCCACTGTGTGGTTTTTGCACAGCAAGCCCAAGGCCTGCTTTGGAGCCACTGAAGCAATGGGGTGCTGTTCCTGTGGGAGGAGGTGCAGCAGGAGCCCTGTGGGCACCTGCCTGAACTGTTGGGTTGTTGAGGCACAGAGTCCTTTCTCCTCTGGACTTGAGGGCAAAGAGTCTTGTAGATTGTGAAATAAAATAACAAGCAGATACCCTCAAAATGCCCGGCAGTGAAGGAGTTCAGGAAAGTTAATTCCAAAATCAAGAATACTGCACTAACAAGGGAAAAACCTAACAGTGCTGAGAATAGAAGATCACCAGGCCTGAGAAAGACACGCATCCTGTTTTCATCAAGGCTTTTACCTTTTCGGGCTTCCCATTACAGATGGATGTTTATATTAATCAGAGAAATATATATTCATAGAAAAACAAATTGTTATTTAGGGTGGTGACAGAGGTGGAACTTGTTACTTTAGACACCCACAGAGCCCCTAAATGGGACTGGGCCACCTTCAATTATCTCTGAGCTCTCGACATTAAATCAACTGTCATTTCTGCACAATTTGCAGCATTTTCAGCAACGTTTTTATGCCACAACCACGTAATGAGCATCCCTGCAATGTCACTTCCCCGGCACAGCCGAGCCCCTGCTCTGGGCTCTTGTCCTTCCTGGGCCGGGACATGGCGCGGCTCTGTGGGACT